AACGTTCGTCATAATGTATAGTCATTATGCCCATTTTAATTACAAATTAAAACACATTAAAACATATTTTAATTGCATATTTTAATTACAAAAATTTATTAGAATTCATTAAGGCAAAATTGCCTTTTCTTTAAAAATATCCAACAAAAACATCCACATGCATAATTTTACTCATCCATGTGAAACTTGCACTTAACACTACCGAGGTTGTTAATATGTGAGTATACTCCCACATTAGATAGGATAATAAACAGTAATGTAATTAAAATAAAAAATGAGGTCAATACCTAATAGCTATAGCTTTTGGGTTAAAATTGGTTTCTACTAGTAAGAGGTTTTTTTTGAAGAAATCGTAAGAGTCATTAACTCTAGATTGGGTCCATTTCCCAGCAACAATCACAGATTAGAGGTTTATGAAGAAATCATAAGTTGAAGAGGGTATCATGATAACCCATAAACACATATAAAGGGATTTAATCGTTCAAAGTTAGGATTTTTTTTTCCTCCATGAAATTTAGCCTTTGATAACCAACCAATAGATTTCGTAGTATCCTGACACCAGGCTTAGTCTTGTTTCTAATTATGAAACTAAGCTCATCAGTCAAGTATGACGGCTACAAGGCAATAAGCTACAACTTAGTTGACAAGTTGGAAAGAGAGAGCGCCCTGCCAATAAAACTTGACCTTATCTGTGGACAGCCAACTGAAACTGATCATAATGGGCCCTGTGGCTGCAGCAAGCTAGTGGAGCAGACATTGCATCAGTGCTAATTAAACTAGGGGCAATAACAAGTAATAAATGATCATGTATGTGAGGATCATGGAGATAATGGACACTTGATATTGAAACTTTGCCAGAAAAAGCGGCGGATGTAAATAATAGTTGAGTGCGTGGGGCACCAAAACTTCGATGGTTGGTCTCAAACTAAAGGGTTGGATCGGTTGGTTTCCTATTTGATGCATCCCACGAGCGTTCATGAGGCTTGCTTAGAAAAAGCCAGCAAGTGCAGAGAGATAGAGACCTTTTTAAATGTTATAGTGTTTTTCTCCTCTACGTCACGGGGAGGCTACACCGTAATTTATGAATAATAATAATAATAATAATTGTACATACGTGCTTTAAATTTTTCAAGTGCATTCTTGCATAAAACCTTGCAATTAATCATGTAACAAATGCAAGTTATCCAAAAGATATATGAACATTTGAACAATATCCATCATAATGCAATAAAAAGAGATGGACTTTACATTTGAAGATTTGAAATATAATCCATCATATAAAATAGAATTTTAAAAAAAAATGCACCTCTTTGATTTGTTCGCTCATATATTGATCATTTATCATTAGGCAATATATGATGCAAGAAGCGTAATTAAATAAATGCATATGAATTATTCTCATAATTCCGGTTCTCTTATTCCAAACCAAAAACTCCTAAAGTGAAAAGATTAAAGTTTCACCCGGGTAGTTAGCCAGGTAAGGATAGTACTAGAGGTTAATCAAAGATCAATTAAGTGCCTCGTTCCTTGCAGAGCGCGTTACGCAACCCTTAAACCTTGCCTTAGACACCAACTAATCCAAGAAAACTTGAATCGGTTCACTCAATGAGTTTTTGTTCCTTAACAGTATATAGAAACTTTAAATTATTTCCTGCAATCATTTAAATTGCCTAGCAATTATACTGCAAACATATGTTGGATAAGGCCGAGGAGGGGTTTACCTATTGATGTTCGAACCTCATGATTTTCATGTCTTGAGAGTAAAAACTCATCTGCTGCAGACAACTGCCACTTAAGTTGCTGAACAAATCTGCATTCACTTTTACCACCTTCTGTACTAAGCTTATTAGATGCATAAATACACTAATGTATGAAATTATTAATAGAAGGCATCATATTATTGATAGCTTAAAGAAATAAAAGTATTAAACCATGAACAAATCCAGATATTTCAAAGCATCTATTTTGTTTTCTTTATTCTTGTCAAAACCATGCATATGAGACTTTCAAACATAAATAAGTATTAAAAGCTCAAATTATTTATTGGTGATCATCAACGTTCAACTACAGAGCATATTCACTAGCACAAGAGAATAAGGGTAGGCTTTAGATGATTCTAACAAATATAAACTAGGCTTTTAGAAACCAATAAAGGTTCTTTGATATTCGTAATTTACAATAATTATTGATTATAAATCAACTATAAGACAAATGTAATTAACTGTTAATTTAACAGAAATATTTAGCTACAATTTTTTAATTATTAATTTTTTTTTAAAATAACCAAAACTGTTTACATGAACAGTAACTTTTTAAATAAAATGAACAGTGCCGTTTTCAAAATAAATGAACATTAACATCATTTTTAAAATTAAACAGTAACGTCATTTTTTAAGAATGAACAGTAACATTTTTTTTTATTGGGGATTCAAAATCAGAATACAAAACTTTTTTTTTTAACAAAAAAAGCAATTTAGTAGCAATTTCCTTTTTTTTTAAATTCGGATGAACACTAACCATCTCGAATGAACAGTAACTTTAAAATAATTTCAGATTTAAATCAAAGCTATAAACTTCTCAATCTTCTAGATTGTTGGGAATTAATCAAATAAATAAAGATTATAGCATGAATTTAAACCCGGAAATTAAATAAATAATACATCAAAGATAGATAATATAAATTAGAGAAACAGGCCTGACGGGAGCAGTCGTATAAACACTGCCCTAGAAGATTGAGGACCCGCCTATCGCCCTGGCGCAGATGATCCCTTCTCCCCTAGCGGTAAAAACCCCCGGAAACGGTCCGGCCTCTGCACTCGGGCGAGAGTGCAGAGCTTCAGCTCAGATGAAGAAGTTGCCCATAAAGTAAAACTAAAGTATAGATGAAAATGATATGTAGAGGAGAAAAGAAAACAAGATAAGTTTTCCATATTTTTCTTCATGTTTCTTGAGCTCAACATATGTTGTTTATATAGGGGTTGAAAAGAGCCGTTACAAAATCCCTCAATAAATTTCGTAACGTTCGTCATAATGTATAGTCATTATGCCCATTTTAATTACAAATTAAAACACATTAAAACATATTTTAATTGCATATTTTAATTACAAAAATTTATTAGAATTCATTAAGGCAAAATTGCCTTTTCTTTAAAAATATCCAACAAATTTTCTCACCTTAGTGAAAGATATGCATCAACCCGTGGACGTAGGTAATTTTGTGCCGAACCACGTTAAATTTGCATGTCTTATTATTCCGTATTTATTTCGCTTTCTCGTAAATCTGGTTATAGGGAAATTTGCGTAATTTTCCAACAACTGGTATCATAGCTGAAGAGGTTGATGATTCACCCGATCTTCTCCTTCGAATTTCTTCATTAAGAACCAGATCACGAACATTATCAAATTTTAACTTATTGCTTCCCGACGAGCTACTCACAGCTGTGACAGTAGCATTCCAACTTTCTGGTAGAGAAGACAAAAATATCAATGCTCGTACTTCTTCATCAAACTCAATTCCAACTGAACTTAACTGGATTGTGACTGTATTGAGTTCACTGAGATGTTGAGCTACCGATGCGTCTTCTGTCATCCGCAAATTGAACAGTCGTCTCATCAAATGAACTTTGTTTGAGGCAGATGGCTTCTCATACATGTTGTAGAGAGCCGTCATAAGACCCGCCATGGTCTTTTCCTTTGTTATGTTGAAAGCAACGTTACGGGATAACGTCAATCGGATAACTCCAAGGGCTTGTCTGTCGAGAAAAGCTCACTCTTCATCCTTCATGTCATCTGGTTTACTTCCTCATAGAGGTTGATACAGCTTTTTCTGGTACAAATAATTTTCGATCTGCATCTTTCAAAAGTCAAAGTCCGTACCATCGAACTTCTTAATTTTTACCTTCTCTTCGTCTGCCACCATCGCTCCCACTCGAATCTGGCACCTTCTAGATCGTTTCTGACTGTTTCTGCGAACCACCGTGTATTAAGACACCTCTGCCGACAAATCGATACCGCCGGCAAAGTTTCACTATTCACGAAATTTACTATTCACATAAATAGTGATCTTGCAAAAACTTGACAGAAATCAAAACCAGAGCTCTGATATCAGTTGTTGAGAAATTACGTAAATTCCCTTATAACCAGATTTACGAGAAAGCAAAATAAATACGAAATAATAAGACATGCAAATTTAACGTGGTTCGGCACAACATTGCCTACGTCCACAGGTTGCTGTAGATTTTTCACTAAGGGGAGAAAATTTACAAACACATACTCACAACCAAATTTCACTATGAAAATTACTCTCAATTTTCTCTCATTGAGTGTTGCCTCGCAATTTTTCTCTCACTTAGATTGATGCTCAGCACACTCTCTCGGATGCTTTATATAGAAAAAACATCACCTTCATACACATTTTTTTCCTCTCTTTGTCAACAAAACATTCTCTCTTTGTCAACAAAAAGATGCTCATCCTTTCCCCTTTTTTGTTTTCTTGCTCCTTCGGTGGCTTGCTTTTGTTGACAAAAAACAAGGCAGCCACAATTTTTCAGTGGCTTTCGGTGCGTGAATATTTGACCAACAATCTCCCACTTGAAGACTGATTTCAATCTGTCTTCACATCTCGATCTATACAGCAGCTCTTCCCCGGTCTTGATACTATTGTAGGCCAACTGAAGCTGAACACAACTTCAGTTTGTCAGTAGTCACCGTCTTTGTCAGCATGTTTGCTGGATTTTGAGCTCCACTGATCTTTTCAAATTTCAAATTCCATCTTCCAGAAATGACCGGATAAAATGATATTGCACATGTATGTGCTTCGTTCTAGAATGAAAAGACGGATTTTTCGCTAGATGAATAGTACTTTATCTATCGCAATATAAGACATTGTCTTCTTGTTTCTTGCCTAATTCATCCAAGAAACTTTAAAGCCAAATCATTTCCTTGCTGGCTTCTGTAACAGCGACATATTCTACTTCAGTTGTGAAGAGCGTGCACACATGGCGAAGGTCTCGTACGCCTCAACAATTGGAAGTCTAATATATGTCATGGTTTGTACAAGATCAGATATTGCTCAAGCAGTGGGAGCTGTTAGCATGTACATAAATAATCCGAGCAAGATACACTAGGAAGCAGTCAAATGGATCCTCAAATATCTACGGGACACCACAGGTAAAACACTTTGTTTCAAAGGTGGAGACACAATACTAATAGGTTATGTGGATGTTGATTTAGTAGGAAATGTTGATATCAAAAAGAGCACTACGGGGTATGTATATACTCTAGGAGGCACTCAGTGAGTTGGGTTTCTCAATTGCAAAAATTGAGAGTAATTTTCTATATAAAGCATCCGAGAAAAGAAAGGTGTATGAAGGTGATGTTTTTTCGATATAAAGCATCCGAGAGAGAGTGTTGGGCATCAATCTAAGTGAGAGAAAAATTGAGAGGCAGCACTCAGTGAGAGAAAATTGAGAGTAATTTTCATAGTGAAATTTGGTTGTGAGTATTTGTGAGTGTATTTGTAAATTTTCTCCCCTTAGTGAAAGCTCTGCAGCAGTCCGTGGACGTAGATAATTTTGTGCCGAACCACGTTAAATTTACGTGTCTTATTATTCCGCATTTATTTCGTTTTCTCATAAATCTGGTTATAGGGGAATTTGTGTAATTTCCCAATAGAAACCACCATTAATCCGTTTCGACACCCTATTTGATACTTTTTTTGCTTGTGAGATCTGAGTTTGGAATACGTAACATTTTACAGATCTCTGGCAGGTCAAAGAACCAGTATATCCCGTGGAAACTTCTCATATCATAACAAATTGTTTTCATGTACCAGGCATGAGTCAGAATCGTGTTTTGTATTAAGGCCTTCTTCACTACCGGTTTCAATGAATGATGGAGGTTTACATAATAGCTGACAACCAAAATAAAACTTAGCCAGATCTCTATGAAAGAATCCTTGCTGAATAGCAGGAGCATTCGTCAAAAAGGATATATGTGGAGAAAATTCAAAACATTTTGATAACAAAGAATTTGCCTTTTTGTTATTGGTACTGTTCTACTCTGAGAACCTCCCCTCAATGACAGCATTCTTTCAACAATGTATTTCTGTGCAGCAAAAAAAAAAAATCACATTTATGTAGAAGTTTGTCTAAAGTTTGATTGATTTGTATGTTATCAAGCTGAACACATGCAAGATGGTAGCAATATGGATGCTTGAAAATGAAATGACATATATGCACAATTTTACCCATAGGTTTTTATCTGAGAATTTCACTTGTCACATAAGACATTTAACTTCAAAACCATATGACTTGGGCTTGTATTGAAATAATTCTTTGATATCATTTTGTAACTTGGAAAACCAAAAAAGTTATTGATACTTTTTCTGTTCTTACTTTTCTGTAAGAATCAGTTTAGCTTTCTGTAACATGATTTTTCTAAGCTTTTACTTGATCTTCTATTAGAAAGATAAGAAAAACATGCTATTTGCTGCAGGCGCCTGGAGACTTCTAAGGAACCAAGACAAACGTCTCTTCTATGCGAGCTCTTGTGAAGATGGATCGTGGTATCCATTTGTATTTCCTATTTTAATGCATTATATTTGTTTGGCTTTACTGCATGCAGACATTTACTTGCTTTACCCTTTCGTTCCTTCCCAGTGATGTTCATCTATTGCATAGCTTATTGCTCTTTCAATTTAGTCCCTTGTGCAACGATGAGACTCCGGCATATTATATATTATGCACTAGTATGCGTGTGGTGTAAAACTATGCTGTGTTCATATTGACTCCAAGCACTGAAGCTGAGAAAAATACACTTAAGAAAAAACAAATCATTTAAATAAATTACTAAGCTATCCGTGTTTATCTCCATATACTAAATCCCCCTCAATTGATGTCAGCGCATACCAAACACAGAAAGGCTAGTTTAATTTCATCTTTGATACGTCAGGTATTGAGACTTTTAACGGTGTTAAATCAAAACTATGGGTACGTAAATTGGGAGTATAAATGTTTAATCATCTTTTTTAAACCTTTTGTAGGCATCGGATTCTCTCCTGTACTAGTTGTTATCAGCCAATACTAGCATGTATTGGTCCTTATTGGCACTAATTAATCATATTGGTACATTATTAGACTATCCTTGTTTATTTTACAAGTGACAGGTATCATGCTTTCATTCGTGGGAAACAGAAAAAATTATAAATGAATTTTGGAAACTATTGAGTGTTGACGATAGCATATGAAACTGGCTTGCATATGAAACATAACAATCTACTTATTTCGTTAATTGTGGACTTTAACTGCCCACTTCTCATTCTAGCACTGACTACTAATAAAATGTCTGTAAAATAAGGGTTAATAACAGGAAATCCCCCTAATGTTTTAGAAGTGATAGATTGGCCCCTCAGTTTTAATATACACAGTGAACTTGGATGTAAAATAGACTAAGCCCATTGTTTGTACTCCCATATAAACAAGTATGTGATATTATATTGAAGACTGTCACTTGTATCTAAAATTTATGAATATTTGACAAGAAAGTGGGTAAATGTCTGCATTGATCTTTCTGCTTGCAGGTGAACCTAAGGGGGAGAGAGACAGTAGCGGCAAGTATTATTTATTGAGAGATGAAGAAAATCCACGCTTTGGAATTTATGATAAGCCCCTTCCATGCTTCGGGTGTGGCGTAGGATGGTTCTCGTAAGTTTGTGAAATCTCACTCCTTTCTCCTCCTTTTCTTTAGTATTTATCCCACGGCAATGCCATTTTGTTACAGGTTTCTTGTAGGATTTCTTTGCCCATTGACATGGTACTATGCTACATTTCTGTACTTTGGTAATTACTATCGAAGAGACCCAAGAGAGCGAGGCGGCCTAGCTGCTTCAGCAATTGCGGTTAGTCTATTTCTTGGGTTCATTAACTTGTCTAGTTGTCTAAATACCAAGGTTAAATTTCATGAAACTACCATGAACCATTTGGCGTTTTACACAAAAATAACATAAACTATTCTTTTAGTGAAAAATAACATAAGCTTGAAAATTAAATGGTAGTTTTATGATAATACTTGAAGGTCCGCGGTTATCTGTCATCAATTTAAATGCTCATGATGGTTTACTTACCTGAAAGTTCATGATAGCTTTGTGGAGCATAAATAAAAGTTCATGGTATTTAGTTCACGGCGTCTTTTCTGAAGGTTATAGTAGTTTTCTGTTGGTTTGAAAGTTTATTGCATCATTTACTATGGGGGAAAAAAATATTTTATGGTATCTTTTCGCAAACTCCTACTGCATTGTTTGGTACGAGGAAATGGGTGGGAATGCAATGCTTATTCTCACTTTTCATTCATGTGTGTACCAAACACGTCTTTTTGGAAGCTAGCGTGCTCGTTACCGCTTCAGATTCATTCCCATATTTAGTGGGAATGGATATTTGCTAATGAGTTGGTGGGAATGGGCTAAAAAAGATTGTGATTGCCGTCGCATTCTCTAATCACAGCCAAACACGGCAGTTTGGGAGTTTACCCAAATGGAAAGTCAAATTAATATTTACTTTTTCTTTTCCTTTTCCTTCATCTGCAGGCATTGGTTTGCACAGTTGCAGCTTTCATCACAGGGCTCGCAGTTTTTCTCTAGTTCAAGCAGATTCTTGCCGCATTTTCCATTCGACTCTCTGTCAGCTCTCTTAAGCATGAGACTACAACATACCAGGCTTGAAAACATGCAGGGACAAAATTATTCCATTTGTTGGGATTTTGGCACTGGATATGTATATCTTGTACAGTGAGATTGTTTAATATGCAAGAGTCATGTTTTCTGTATAAAATTATGGAATAAGAGCTCAAGATAATACGCACCAAGACTCTCGTCATGTACACGAAACGTCGAGAACTACAAGGTCTTCTGATGAAACACATGCGCTCAGAATGCTAGTCTTTGCTCAGAAGACCCTCCAAGATAATCCTTAGGTTGATGATGATCTCTAAAATCATTGGGCTTTTATTCCTGTTAATTATGCATTTTATTATCTCTCTGCTGAAAATAATCACTTATACCTCATTTTTCTTATTTTCATGTAAAGCGTTGAGCGTGAGCAATAGAGCAGAAGTTTAGAGAAATTTAGAGATAATTTTCAAGGTCAGTCTTAAAAAAACAAGATTTCCTCACCATAGCAAACTAATGACCTTGAATCGTTGTTGGAAGATTAAAATGCAGATACAAAACCTTTGATTAAATCAAATCATAAATAATTTCCCATCGAGTACAATCTTGAATCAGACCGTCTTCAGTCGCTTACAAGATCTGACTAAGTTCATACTCTCAAAAAAAAAAAAAAACTCTCTCGTGTCAATCAATAACGCACAAGAATGGGCGCATAAATCCAACACGCCCTTATCAAATAGCAGTCACAAAATTCCCTGAAAATGCAAAAATAAATGACAATAAGTTAAAGACGAGAAACATAAAGCGTCTTCAGAAACCTGATTCCATACAGATATTGACAGTATCAACAGATGAGCTGATGAAATAATTGATAAATACTCTGATGCAGAAAATGAACGATGGAGTAGAAACAAGTTCCTCACCGCAACATGGCAACATTCGCGAAAGAGCTATCTGTAGTAATAATCAGGATTCTCCGGTCTTTCCCACCAAGCAAATGCGTTTGTTCTCAATCGAAAATCGATTCGTTGAATTAATCTGGATTACATGGCGTTTAAAGAATATCAATATTTAATCAAGTAAATAAATAAATAAATAAATAAAAGATGGGAATGTCATAGCTCCCGACCTCCTGCATGAGCTTATCTCGAAGGAGCTCCTCATCCTCAGTTACACCAGATTCCTTGAGGCCTTTAAGGATGAGCTTCTGTAACTTTTTGATCTTCATAACGCCATCCGACTGTCATGAACAACATATTTATGAGCTCTGATTTCTCGAGAACATATCCTTTGAATGATTCAACAGTCGAGCTTTGTGATGTGTGTCAGCTAAATTATAGAGACCTAGGACTTCCATTGTCCTAAAAGGGTTCTAAATTACAGAAACTAGTAGAGTCCTATTACAATTAGGAGGTTGTTAAATCTGAATTGCTGCGCTTATTAGAATGATTTTGGTGAGGAGTTTGCAAGGTCTCAATTAAAGATCTAGATGGTCTTATTCTAAATTTCTAATTGGGAGTATGTTCAGAGTAGAATGTCTAAGGAGAATTCTACTGAACACTAATCCTAAGTAAAATACTACTATGAACAAAGGGTTCTATATAAAAAATATTGTTAAAAGTTGGATAGGCCTTTTCCCCCTTCCGTTTTCATCCTATGTTATTCAGTTTATTTTCAGTTTTAACTCCTGCCAAATCAAGTCCGCTTTTAGCTTGGATTCAAGGGTGTCTTAGAGAGATCGTGTCAAATTTCGTCAGTTAATGTTATCTGTTTATTTTGGCTTTTGCCCTCGGGTTCTCTTTTCTCTCTCCGGCTTCGAGAGTAGTATAGGAAGGCCATGACCCAATTTTTTGGATTTCCTTCCTTCATTCCTCTTTTTTTGCGTTCTCTACGGTTACAAGATCCCCCATGATGCAATTCGGAGCAGCCAAATGAATGGGCTCTTGTAACCAATTGGAGAGGGGTACAATGAGATTGCATTAGATGATCTGATGTTTTTAAACTATGTAGTGAGGATGATGTAGACTAAACCTTTTGATGCTTAACTCCTTTCCATGTCAGTGCATTGTTGGATTTGCACTTTCTAGCGAGAAACATACATGAAAGTCGATACAAATCTACTTTAAGAATGGATAGAAACAAAACTAAAGTTATGTATTGACTAGAGACAAAATTAGTTGTGTTCAAAAAGACTTCTATCATGTTCAGTTTCAAATAAGACTTTGAATTAAGTGGAGATGCTTAGCAATTATCTTCCAAGATTATGTATCAAGTGGTTGGAAAATTTTCACTAGAATGAATTTGCACTACTCCACACAGAGTCTTTAGCTTAAATAGTCAGTGACTACTAAAATTATATTTACTTAAGGGCTCTACTTTGAGCCTTTTTTGTAACATTTATAAAAATGAATGTACAAATAATTCAAAGGTAAAGTTCATCAGTGATGGTAATTGAATTAATATAGTTTCATATATGAAAAGATTGTGTTATGTGCATTTGATAACTTCTCTTTTGATGCATATTTAGTTTCATTCTATTCTAATTTTTAAAATGAATAGATTGATTAAGTTCTTTAAATTTGTCTTTCTAGGTCATTTGTGGTGTCAAAGGAATAAACAACAACAACAAAGCCTTTATCCCAAATGTTTGGCGTCGGTTATATAAATCCTATTTTTCCATTCTGTTCTATTATGAGCCAATCTCCTTCGTCAATCATTAAAATATCATTCTTAATAGCAAAAGAATGTTGGAGTTAAATTCAGCTCCTCAATAGCAACCACTATGATGCTCCTACTATGGTTTAGCTCCCTATTGGATACTCCGAAAAGAGTATGTGGATTTAAATAGTGAAAGCTGGGGGATTCAAGTGCAACTACATTAACCTCTTTCGCACTGGATGAGTCAAACAACTAGTTGCACTCAATAGGTCGTGCGGCTTACATAATGCTAATGGGCTCGCGGTCCGGGGCGTAACAAAGTGGTGTCATAGCCTTAAGATATTCATTTACGCCTTATAAGAGAGGGTAGCATAGTGTACATAGATTATATCTGTTTCCAACAGCCTTATATTTCAAGTAATCTTAGTTGCACTTGGATTGGAGATTGAATTTAATTGGAAAGAATAAATTGCAATTGGAATTCAATTCTAATTGGAAGAAGATTAGAATTGATCATCTAAGTCAAAGGAGTCTTACAGGAATTCAAGATAGGGGGAAACTCTTTAAATATCCCTTGAGAGCTTCATTGTAAATCAAGTCATAGGAAAACATAGGAGAGTTGCATACTATAAAGAGAGGTTGGGAGAACTAAGGAGAGAAATCTAGGGTTTGTGAGAGATTCTTTTGGTGATATTGAGAGGATTTTTCGTGGGTTCTTCAAGAACATAAGAAATATTGCACCTTGTATAATATCTAGGAAACGAAGACTCAGATCTCTCCCCATGACGTAAGCGATTGCTGAACCATGTAAATCTTACATGTCATTGTGCTCTTTTTGTTTTTCTTTCTATGGCTTATCGCTTTCTCTTTTATTAAAATAAGTTTTATCGGAGTTCCCACAATGTACAGTGATCAATTGCTTTACAAAGGAGGAGATGTAATTGGAGTTTTGGTGATGATGCTTCCATAAGCAACGCTTTAGCATTGAATGCCGAATAGTGCGCAACAATTGGTGTCAGGTTGTGGTGGGTGTGCACCACTAAGGTAGGTGTCACTGCATCTGTATTGATCAAATGCCAAGTAAATACAACACAAATGTCCAGTGAGATCTCCTATAGTATAACTCTAGTACAAATAGATGTTTGTATTCTTTAATCAAGTTAGTTGACAAGCAATACAAGAAAAAACTCTGAGTAGACACCGCTCAGTTCACCATTAAAAATCAGTCCTTGCATTAACTCTTGCATTTGCATGCTCTTCTATCTTGCCATTGTTCCATCCAATTCATTCAAAGGATCACCATCTCACATACAGAGATTGATGGCATGGGAAGGCCACTAAATATTTTAAAGATGAAAAAATAACCGTAGTTTTACCATGACAATGAAGAATAAATCTAATAGCTAGGTAAGTTCTGTTCTTTTAGATGTAAATTTCAGTTATAAATGGTGAACACATCTGCTGACAGAATAAAAACGTAAACATTGTAGGAAGCAGAAATTTTGTAGAATGAATGCGTACCGATTTCAAAGTTGAAGTAACCAACTTCTTCCACCTAATTTTACCATGGACTGATTTCACCCTTTGCTTATCTTCTTGCTCTTCAGAAATCAACGATTCATCTACACTCTTCTTTTTCTTTGTTTTACGTTTTGATGCTTCATAATCTCCTGCTTGTATTACCTCCCCATTGGTTAAATCAGCAGCATTCTTTCCTTCAACTTTTCTCTTTTTCTGATTGTCTTTGTCATCTCTGGTGATTTGGGCATCAGAGTCTTTTGATAGATCACTTTCTTGCACTTTGTTAGAAGAACCATTTCCTTCAACTGATTTCACCAATTGATCATCAGCAACAGCCTCCTTCACCTTAGGAGTTGTCTCCTCCGTTTGACTGGATTGTTTCTGAGAAGCATGGAAAGCTCGTGCCTTTGCTCTGTGTTTCTTGCCATCAGCATGGAGCAGCAAAGCCTGTTTGCTTGTAGCATTTGTGTTGCAGAGACTATTTGATTAAAAAACAAAAGGGAGATGATCCAGGTTCAGTTCCCTATCAACAGGATTCAACACATGCATCCTATCCATAGTCTGAAGTGTTTATACAATTATACTAAAGAATCAACCAGCCTGTTACCTCTTGTGTATACCATGCATTAAAAAAAGTATAGTGTAATAGAGATTAGAAAATATATATGGGAGAATTCCATTTTTCAGAATATGCATTTTAGATGTCTAGAACAATGATAAATAGATTACATATATGGACCATGAAGGTTGGGAGTTGTAGGTTGGAAATCTAGACATAAGCATGCACGCGCGCACGGACACAAAGGTCTATTGAAACGAAGGTTGGAACTCTCAGTGTTAGTCATGGATCCAAATTAATTACAATTAAATGGTAAGGTACATAGAGAATAAAATGTATCTATGAAATGACAGTTCTTCATTATTTTCTTTGTTATTCTAAACCATTAGATAGATTCCGAAATCTAATTTAATAAAAGGTTAGATCCAGGATGTGGTAATAATCTAAAGCATGAACCACTCAATTAATCTTGTTTCATCGGATTCAGAATGTTATATGTTATATGGTTCTGAAGGATAAACCAGACAGACTGTTCCAATAAGATTTCCCTCTTGGAAAAAAAGACCATTTTCGTTAAACCATCTCCTCCCTGAAGGAAGCTCACTAGCAGAAGTGGGAGAAATGGGAGTATACTCTGATCAGTAAAACCCCTAATTATCCTTTCACTGGAAACAAGCTCTGACAAAATTAGCATGAAACAGCTTCAAAAAGAAAATCTAAGGCAACTTCAGCTAGACATATATATTGATATGATAGAAACTGAACAAATATGCAAATACTTTTCTAATCTAGAGAAGAAAGATCAACATATTTGACTCGTAAGAAGTGTCTTAACTCTGAAATGTAGCTTGAGAAGAAGGACAACCAAAAGTCGTTTAGCTACCTTCAAGTAAAATTAATTCAATACGGACAAGTAAATTAAGAATGTTTAACTTACCTACAAAACCAAGGAGCATGTGAAGATAAACCAACATTTATATCAACGTCTGAATTTTTCTTAGGCTTCTCGATCTTTGTTTGTCCATTATTTGATACATTTCCTTGACCTTTTGGACCATATTTCTCCTGTAAAGTTTAAGTCAAGTTCAAAACTGGAATCATCAGGTTATAATACACAATACTAAAATATGCTGAAGAATTAAGCAAAGACACTCTAAAACCATGTGAATACAATAACAAAGTATATGTAATGCATATAACAATGTAAGGAGTAGCATGCCTTGTGTAAAATAAACATGCTCCTTTACTGCAGTAAATAACGTTGTGTATTCGCCTTCAAGATTCTATTACAGAAGCCTGTTTTACCTAATAGCCTTGCGCAAAAATTGGGCAAGAAGAGGTCCTACAGTACTAACGGTAGATTGTGAACCATTCATAAGACTAGATTATTCTTTTGTTGTTTGAGACATTCTCTGTAGTATATTTTCGATTAAAGAGGCCAGGATGACTTAACATAGTTCAAATTAATCACAACATAGGGCATGTCAAATGTTGTCATAAGTACACACGCACAGGATGCTGCCCCCACCCAATTTCCAACACCGTACGCTAAGAAACTATACACCCACGCTCACAGTGACACATGCGCGCACGCACAAACCAACATCTGCCGCATAACATGATCAAGAAACATCCAACACTATCTTAAAATTCAAGACTCACAAACTGTCGGCATGTAGCTTGAGCATTTATCTAACTAGGCCTGACAAAGGCCACCGACCCACAAGTCAATGAGCTAATTTGATATTTTATCGATGATTAAACCACTGTTCCACAGGTCCTCAACCTATCCGCATATATATTCCCATCTTATTCTTCTCATTGTATCACCCAGACTGGGACACTCAAGCCTACAAATTTAGATCCAGAGAGGAAACTATGACTAACTTTAAACTAAGCCGCCAGTCGCGGCTATTGAGAGCCACATCCAGTTTCAACTGTGCTGCGCTCTAAATCAGGGTAGACAAGTTTGTTCCGGTTTCCTGCGGAATTTGATAGCAGAAATCATAAATAACCTCCTCATAATCATGCAACAGAACCAGACTATATCTTCCCTGCAATGAAAAATATTAGTTTCTAGGATTGGTTTTCATTAAGTTTCATAAACTCTCAAAAAGGGATTTCCTTTTATTAAATTTTAGGGGGAAAACTAAATTAAACGAAGGCTGGCGATCACCAAAGGTAATAATTTTGCAATAAAAAATAAATCACAGAAATGAACTAACCGCTTCAGTCATGCACTGAGTATGGCTCTGAACGCTCTCTTGATCGAACATCTTCCCACAATCAATACATGATAACTACAAGCAAAAAAAAATCAAAAAAAAATCAAAAAAAAAATTCAAATTGAAATCGACGGCGTCAAAATCACACAGAACAAAGACCTTGTAAGCAGAGCACAAGCGGAAATGGTTGGCGAGCTTCGGCTTCTTCAAGTTCTCTCCGCAGTCCTCGCACTGAAACCACACCATTTTTCGTTTCTCCTCTCTCTCTCTCCCCCTCTCCCTCAATCGAGAATGACGATGGAGGTTTTCTAGGGTTTTTGAGGGGGAGATTGTGGATCGGTTTTATATGTCTCTTGAAAAAAAAATCAGCCCGAACCCGATAAGTGCACTTATTTGCTCAAGTTGGGCCCTCAATGCCTGTTTGGCAATCACATCGGAATGAGGCCTCCAGGAGTCGAAATTTTAACCTTCTCTCTCCTGCCACATCATTTTATTCCCCCTCCACATAATTTAACAATCTTTATTTTCTATCATCTCTACAGCAGGAGTTTTTTCAAAAGATTTTTACTTTATTTGGGACCCACTATAACACCATCACTCCAACATATATACCCCACCTTATTTATTCATTTCTTTTTCTTATTTCATATATATTACTACTACTACAATTATTATTACTAATATAACTCATTTATTTATAATTATAATTTTTAAATATTTACATAAATAATATATATTATTAATTTTATTTTTGATAATATTTTTATATTAACAAAAAACACACAATTTTATTAAGCATATGGAAAAGTCAAACACACACAAATTATTGAAAACATTAAAGAAAACACACATTAAATTGGTAAATCTAATCAGAGGTTATTCCAAATTTCTGCCAAATGTGCTCGATGAGATCCTTTTTCAACTGAATATGTTGGCTCCTATCTCGTAGTTCGGCTCTAGTATGATTATCCGATCCGGATCGGTCTCGAACATGGACTTGAAACTCAGGCAATACGTCTGTTTGAACACTGGAAGAGGCGGAAGAGCTAGGATTGTTTGACGGTTCAAAGTCGATATTTTCCCAGTTTCGCGAATACGAATCTCGTTCATCTTCCACTATCATGTTATGTAAAATAATGCACGCCCTCATTATTTCATCTTCCCAATGCATGCAATCGATACTTCCAATCATCCCTGGGAAACCACGCTCTTGTCCAACTTGGATTAACCTCTGCAAGTCTTGCACATTGGGTCGTCTTAAGTATTCATCTTGAAACAAGGCTATTACCCCTTCGTAAAACCTCTGAGTACACTCAACCGCAGTAGATTCTCCTATCTTCACGTACTCATCACAAGCATCAGCTGCTACTCCATATGCGAGCATGCGTAGGGCAGCAGTACACTTTTGGATAGGGGTTAAACCAAGCTTGCCCGCATTATTACGACGTTGTGTGAAGTAAACGTCGAAATTTGACATAGAATCCACAATTCGTAGAAAGAGAGGCCTATTCATTCGATACCTTCGTCGAAATTGGGCATCAGTGTATGTGCATGATTCGGCAAAGTAGTCGGCCTTGAGCCTCTCATGCGCTGCTTGATGATCTCTATATATGGACTTTCTCTTGCGCGGTTGTTCTTCTCTCCTAAGCAACTCTTCAAGCAGTTCTTGTTGCCTATCAAACATTTTATCTTCTAACTCCCATTCTTGTTGGAAGTATTCGAGATTGAATTCATTTAGGTTTGGATCCATTGGAGGGTATGTAGAAAAAATGTTGATAGGTATACTCCAAGTTGTGCATTTGGTGAGCATTTATAATGAAAACTTTTGTTCAAAAACATGCAATTGCAACGACATGTGGCGTATGGCATGCATTCTTTGTCTTTAATTGCATAGAGTGGTCAATTCATACCAGAGAGTTGTCAATTCAACCCTTGTCTTTAATTACAGAGAGTTGTCAATGCATGCCTTGTCTTTAATTGCATAGAGTGGTCAATTCAACCCTTTGTCTTTAATTACAGGGAGTTGTCAATTCATGCCTTGTCTTTAATTGCAGAGACTTGTCAATTCAACCCTTTGTCTTTAATTACAGAGAGTTGTCAATTCATGTCTTGTCTTTAATTACATAGAGTGGTCAATTCAACCCTTTGTCTTTAATTACAGGGAGTTGTCAATTCATGCCTTGTCTTTAATTGCAGAAACTTGTCAATTCAACCCTTTGTCTTTAATTACAGAGAGTTGTCAATTCATGCCTTGTCTTTAATTGCATAGAGTGGTCAATTCAACCATTCGTCTTTAATTGCAGGGAGTTGTCAATTCATACATTTTTTAACTTTAATTGCAGAGACTTGTCAATTCAATTGGAGAGGGAGTAGTCATTTCAATTGGATTTATTCAAATAAAAAACAACGATTTTATTCAACACTCCAATTTCAGCACACAAAACACTTAAAAAAACACTTAAAAACACATAAACAAACTAACAGACAAACAACAACTTCTTCATTTGCCAAACAGTTCTTTCCTCAACAACTGATATGCTTCTTCATCTTCATCGTCACGATCTGGTTTGTTTTTCAAAAATCTCCACGTCTCCATATTCTTGGCACGAGCGAGGACATTCATAGCTTCAACAGTACTTGCTCTTTTCGCTTCCGCCTTTTCACGAGAGGTGACTATATTGGATAACTCATCCTGAAGTTCGAGCTTCGGTTTCCTTGGTTTACTGGACGAAGCTCTAGCTTTCTTCTTTGTCGTGTCTCTACCCTCAGGACGTACTAGAGTAGGAGCGGAGGATTCAACATCTTCACTACTACTCTTTCTTTTCGAACCGCTACTACCCGAGACTGCTACTCCTGGCATATATTTTGGTTGATTGCGAACAACCTTCCACTCATCCACCAAATTAAACGATGTACCCATTTTCTCAAAGTACAACTCCCTGCCTTTGGATATGTAGTTTTCATCAGACCAACCACTTTGCTTCTCCCTGCCTTTGGATAATTTTGTGAAGGATCCATTTGAAAAAGTTTGAAGAATATAGAAGCAAAAGCAAAGAGAATGAGAATAAGGTGTTGAAAACTCAGAATTTTTTTGGTGTCCAAATTACACAAGACTAATCTCTATTTATAGAGGTCAAAAAATAAAAATTATTGCTACACAAGACTAATCTCTATTTATAGAGGTCAAAAAATAAAAATTATTGCTATAAAAATTATAAATTAATTCCTAGTATTTATCTCCCAAAATATCATAAAATTATTGCTATAAAAATTATAAATTAATTCCTAGTATTTATCTCCCAAAATATCATTTAAAAATTAGAAGTAAAACAAAAAACGCCAACCAATCAAGCCTTGACACATGACTTGATGCATGGGCTGATCACATTGAACACACGCGCGTGTGCAAGTTTGGCCTAACAGCTCCTGCAACTTCGCCACATGTCGCGTGCTGATTGGTAGGCGCCTTTAATTTTTTTTTAAAATACAGTTGCATGCTTTTTTCACGGGACCCACGCGGTCAGAAAAACCAATGGTGAAATATTCACCCCTTTGACTCTGATTTTCCATTTCACCACCCAAAAAACCACCTGCTGGAGCAAAAAACCCCCCCAAAAACCACCTGCTGGAGATAGTCAGCGTCATTTTATAGGGGTTTTTGTTTTTTTAACCCAAAGTTTTACCCCAGCTTATTTACGGACCCACCCACTTCTATAAATCTACTCCTTTATACAAACGAGAGAACTCAAGATTTACTATTCACGCTACAGTAAATACTATAACAGTATTTACTGTAGCAACATGGAACTGGTCGATGTAGATTTTTTGAAAAACATTACTGTAGCACACGGGAATAATGCAACAGAGGGCGGGATATTGTAGCAATTTAAAAAATTTAAAAATATTGTAGCAGTTAAACCGGGATTAATGTAGCGTGAAAAAAATATGTCGTGCTTAGCACGGTGTTCACACTAGTACTCGTAAACCTAAAATAACTCATGCCAGTTATTTTTAAACACAACCTATACATATACCCTTAATCTTTATACTGTATTTTCTTAATTATTCTAAATTTTCAAAATTGTCTTTCTTCCCCAAATGGACCAGCTCCCTCTTCTTCATTTCACAGTACTAAAGAGCACATCTTCAACACCATCATGCTCTCCCAACCTCCCCTCTCCATAAGCGTTGTTTGCTCAATCGAATTGTTAATGAAAACTAAGTTGAATTTGGTCACTAGATGCATGACCTTATGACAAACTTTGGATTTTTGGGTTCAGATATGTTCAGATTTTCCTTTTCTTTTTTTTACAAGTATCTAATTTTGGTGAAGAGGCCGATGCATGAAAAATGTTTGACAGAATGACAAAGATGGATGTAATTATTTGAAATACAACCATTAGTAGTTATGCGGGTGTTCGATGAAATGTCCGAGAGCAATTGAGTTTTGTAGAATGTGATGATTGCAGTTTATGTGAAGGTAGAATGTCCGAGAGTAATTTCTACTTTGTTATAATGCATATGGACCCGTATGAGTGTTTTGGTCATGTGGTTAATGGGTGCATTGCATTTTGTGAAGGATTCCATAACTCCATGGTTTTTTCCAACAATGACTTTATTTGTATGTGTTTTTGTGTGTATTTGGGCTAAAGTTGTAATTATTTATGATGAACTAAAGAGCCACACTTCTGCTATTAAAGAGCTATACAATTGTGTACAATGAGCTACACTTGGTAAATAAGGTGCTACGCTTCGACATAAGGTGCTACACTTTTATTAGACATTAGAATATATAAACGCTAACTCGTTTTTGTTAATCAAACACATTCATCAAACACTACAACATGTACATGCTAGCACATTTTCATTCATCAAACACCACAATATACACATGTACACGTAAAAGTGTCAATCGAAGTCCAAATAAAGCACAAAATATCCCCAAAATGGACCCCAAAAAAATTTACAAAATACTAGAATTTCAGCTTAATCGCCACCGCAACATCAACATCCCTCAAAGACATGCAACATCAAGCAAAAACAATTCGTTCGTGGCACGTTTATCGATCCCTCCGACTGATCCCTTTGAGGTAATCTCATCATCATACTCGGCTCTGAGTAGTTTACAATGGTCTTTATGAAACACAGTAGAACAAAATGTTGTATGTGAAGAAGTGGGTTTCCATAATGAATCACTTGAGGTATTATTGGGAACAGGTTGGGTTTCTAAATAAGTCATGGTAAAACTTTGGGTTAAAGAGCAAAGACCCTTATTTTTTTTAACTAGGTTAGAACTGAACGGGTAGGGGGTGGACGAATTCTAGTCTGGTTAAGAGGATGAAAAATAAACTAAAATAAAGTTGAGCCGACTCTGCCCCGGGTTTTTTAACTTTTTCCAAACATATCCCTTATTTAATCAAGAACTAAAGGGTTTTCACAAGGGTAATTTTCAAGACTTTAGTGATTTTCAAAATAGTTGAGATCTCACGCGGCCTAATGTCATCCGCTCTAATTACCACTTAATTGGAGAGAATCCAACTACCAATTTCTTACGTTAGAACATACCATATGAGTCGTTCTAATCCATAAATAGGTAAATAAGGGTCAATTTTAAAATTTCACAGTCAGGCCATTCTGATAAAATTTATAATCTTAAAAAGAGTCATTGAGCTCCTATTTTGAGTGCTAATTTATTCGTACATTCTTTGATATTGAGTTAAAAATGCCCATCTCGTTTGAACGCTGTTGTTGATTTAGGCTAAAAATTAGCAAATATATAGATTTGGACGGTAATTTATAATCTTAAAAAGAGTCCTTGAGCTCCGATTTTGAGTGCTAATTTATTCATGCATTCTTTGATATTGAGTTAAGATGCCCATCTCCTTTTAACACCGTTAATTAGGCTAAATTAGCAAATATATAGTTTTAGACGCAAGGTTTTAAATGCCGGATGTCGGGTTCATGTGAGACGGCTAAAATTCATGTCGGGTAGTAAAAATCGGAGATATGTCGGGGGACATGAAAAACATATCGGATTGCCATATCGGATGGTGTGCATATATGTAATATAAATATCATAAATAAAATCTAAACATACTTAATAAATTCATCTCCTTTTAACACCGTTAATTAGGCTAAATTAGCAAATATATAGTTTTAGACGCAAGGTTTTAAATGCCGGATGTCGGGTTCATGTGAGACGGCTAAAATTCATGTCGGGTAGTAAAAATCGGAGATATGTCGGGGGACATGAAAAACATATCGGATTGCCATATCGGATGGTGTGCATATATGTAATATAAATATCATAAATAAAATCTAAACATACTTAATAAATTCTATTGTTTAAACATATAAAAGAGTAAATAACTTATGATACTTAAGGTTGATGTTGAAGGAAAGAAGTGAGAAAAGAGGAGTCCGATGTTGATGGTTAAGGAAAGAGAAGTTCACCGATATTGACATCGAAGGAACAGCTCGGAGAAGAGACCAATGAGATGTCAAATGAAAGAGAGAAGATGAGCGACGGAAAGAGGGGTTTTTTGCTAGTTAAAAAAAAACCTCTTTCGTTCTGACAATTTTGAATGTGTAACAAATAACTATGTAAGACCACAGCAGCATGGAAACCTAAGCTTTCTTATGATAGTAATAATAATAATGATAATAATAAAAGTTGCACAACATATTGTCCACCTGTTCAAATAAGATTATATAATGAAATAAACAACATTACACCCCATGAAATATGGA